GGGCAGCACTTACCCCAGCCCCACTCCCACACCGCAGGGGGCATTGATTTGTTCCCCCCGCCCCTTCCCTCCCCCTCCCCTTTCATCACAACAGATTTACCAGCTAGACTCAGCTGTATTGGAAATTGGATCAGTATTGGCTGATATGCCTCCTTAAAAATTAGCTATCGGTATCAGCCCTCAAAATGTCTATCGGTGCACCCCTAGTTATTACAGGTACTAAACTTAACGCACAGTAAGCACAATGCATTAATGCACATGTAGATGTGCCCACTGTGTCTTAAACCTGAATGGCTCTTAGCTAAGTGAGTAATTTATGACAAATGCAATGGTAAGTTCATACCCAAGAACACTTCTTTAGCTGTAAGTGTTCCTGCCTACTTATTTCACTAACTTTCTCATTACCGTCTGGTTGTCCAGTGTCTGTGTGAAATCTTTCAGTTAGTATCAGGCAGGACTCACTTGAGAACTAGAAATGAAAAGTTCCACATACATCCCTTGTTTTCTGTTCTGTTTAGCTGTATCCCTGCCTGTTTACCCCACATCTAGCTGTCTCCTCTTCTTTATTTTAGAATCAGTCAAGTGCACCAGATATCAAGAGCTCCTGATTAAAAGGGCTCTGTCAGCTGCAGACTGAAACTGGGCACATCTACACGTGCATTAATGCATTTTTCCTACTGTGCATTAAATTTAGTACCTCCAGTATGAGATACTAAATAAATGCACATTATGCTGTGCTAATGTGAGGTAATGCAAATGCGTGCTTTTTAGCTGATGCTTAATGCAAAGTAGCCTAATCTACTGCACATGAGTGTATTAGCATGATTTGTATGCCCCGCTTTAACGTGCAATAGAATAGGCTACTGCACATTAAAGTACGTGTGTAGACACACCCACTGATGCTGATAGTGCAATTGTAGAGCTGCTTGAGCACAGCACTGCCTTGATATGCCAGCACTCCTGTTCAGATGAGCTAGTCAGAAGCTCATCTTCTGGTCAGACTGAATTCTATGTCAGACAGCTAGCAAATGTGTTTATTGCCATTGCAGACTAAGATTTCATGTAATCAGTGTTCAAACAATCAACCAGCTAGTAAATACAGAGAACAGAGCACTGGTCTGGGACTCAGAAGAGCTAGGTTTTATTCTTGGCTCTGTTAACTTACCTTGACCAAGTCACTTTCTGTGCCTCAGTTTCTCTATCTGCAAGATGGAGATAATGATACTGACCTTTTACAGCCCTGTGAGATTTACTGATGAAGAGCGCTCTACATCTGGGTACATTTAACAGTGTACTTCTTCCTCCTTCCCACTCTAAACACCCATATGGCATTTAAAAAATGTTAATGCATGCTTGCCTGAAGTAGAAATACACAGAATTACAAAAAAAAATGTTAACCAGCTGGTCGCTTCATTTATTTTCTGTGTTGTTCAGAGTATTGTGTTTGGAAGATCTCTCTTTTTTAGACCTAATTTTAAGCTAATAGTTTGAAGATTCTTATATAATGATTACTTTTATAAAAGTGTTTCATATCATTACTGGGGTGTAGTGGCCAATTACTTTCTCAATAGCTTCTCAGCCTGTGGAAACCAGTGGGCGCACTTGCAGAAAGCTACAGAACAAGATGGAAAGCCTGCAAAGTCTGGTTGAAACTTTACAGCTGAAAAACCAAGGTACAGTAATTAATTCTCCTGCTTTTAAAATGTACTGAATCTCAGCCTGTTTGCAATTTCCAGCCACAGTACTAGCTATGTTTTCCCATTTCTGTCAGTTTAGATGCATCTGATTTATTTTCATTATCCTAGGAGAATAAATAGATCAGCTCCATACTATACTGTTAATCAGTCCTTTAATGTTAATGAGCTCCTAGATCCTAAATCTTTAAAACATGGCAGCATGCCATGTGCAGAGAGAGGAAGTTACCCATATTATTCTGAAGTCAGGCAGAAGGCACCTTATAGACTGACTAATGCCATGCTCCCACATGTGCTGCTGTGATCTACTAAATCTGTAACAAGCTGTGGACTTCTCATGGAAATAAAAGATATACTATGTTCCCAGTAGCCTTTATTTTAAAATAGGTCATGGTTTACCAGCTGAAACCACTCGAGTAGCCCAATGCCAGGCATATCTACACATGCATTAAGGTACTGTAATTATGGTATGTTAAGTTTAGTACCTGTAATAACAGGCACTAAATGCACTGTTATTGGTACTACTGCACAGTAGCGCTGGCGCATATCTTTTAGGTGACACTAATGTGCAGTAGATTAATTTTACTGCGCATTAGCACAGCTTTTGCCATCATGTGCTAATGCACAGTAGAAGTAGTCTACTGTGCTTTTAGCATCTTGTGTAGATGTGCTCCCCCTACAGCTACTCCTTATTCTAAGAGCTGGGAGGTGCTATAGTCTTAACCAGTGCTGTAGTCAAGGGTATCACCTTTTAGGCCCTGATCTTACTACCTTTGAACCCACTGGCAAAACACTCATCAGATTCATTGACTGCAGAATGCCAAGTGCTAGAATCCCTTTTGTCAGCATTTTTCTTACTCTGCATTTTGATGGTCTTTCTTTTCCCCTCCACTTCTGTGATTATGGACTTATAAATGACCAATAATCCACGTCGTGCATTCCATGTAGAAAATGTAGGAAAAATGGATTTTAAGCAAATTATTTATATAAAAAATAAAAACACCAAGGAGAGAAAAAAAAATAGGCTAGCTGCTACAATACATGCTGTAAAAGGCATAGTTCCATTGGTGTCAGTGGTTGTTCATAATCTGCCATCAGTTAATTTTCACTTCAGGGAGAGGCATGTGTTCTGAATTAGCATCCCTTTAGTAATGCATTATAGTTGTGTGTAAAATACAAAATTAAAATAATCTATGCATCAAATTCCATTGTACAACCATTGAGCCAAAGTCACCTGAAATCAGTAAACTTAACCCACTTATTCCAGCAATGAATTTGGCCCTTTGGTCCCAAACAAAATGACTGTACAGCAGAATTCAGATTGTATCTGGTTATGATTAGGCCTGTTTTGACTAGTAAAGTATTATCTAGTTGAAGTGCACAGCAGATTTGTTTTCTTAAGAAGAAATCAAGCACAGAGCATTGCTAATATAATGTGCTAGCAAACTATAAAACTGCAGGTGTCAAAACCTGAAGCTTCAGTTGTTTTCTGGCTAGGATGGCCTGACTGTACATAGCATTCAAGCACTTTTTGTCAATGCCATTTTCAGCAATGTCTTCAATGATCAGAAGTCAAGAAAAGAAGATAGAGAAAGTGAAGGAAAAGGAGAAGAGGCTAACAAAATGAAGAAACTCTGTGAGGTTGTGATCATTTGACTGTGTAGATTGTGCCTTGTTAAATGTGTTATTTAAATTATATTATCCTTTAAAAGAGTAATAATAAAGGTTCTCAGTTTTGTAACTTGTGTCTTGGACTAGAATAATTTTTGCAGTCTACAATTCTAGAGGAACAGGAAGTACAAGACATAAGTATAGAGGTTTGGTATTATTCATTGTTGTACATTTGGAATAAATGCATGCTTCATGTGGTAAAGCCAAGAAAAGATTTTGCTGGTGACCCCAAACAAGTCCCAAGATCTTATGCCCCACCCCATTCCACATTCCAAGTCTGCTAAATTTATTCTCACCAGGAGGGAGGGGAAAGTTGTGGAATCTCCATCCTCAGAGCTTTTTAAGATCTGGCTAGACCAGGCTTGTCCAACATGTGGCCCGCCAAGGCATTTTCTGTGGCCCACGGTGCTGCGTTCCCGCCCCTTGTCCCTCCCCTAGCCCCTCTGTAGCTTCCTAATGGCTGCTGAAGGACTGGGGAAGGGACAAGGTTCCCACACACGCTGCGTCAGCGCGGCCCGGCTGGATCCCTCGCGGGGCCGGACCCCTCCCTGGCCGGTGGCACTAGCTGCGGCTGCTGAATGGCCCCGCT